AGAGAGAGAGAGAGAGAGAGAGAGAGAGAGAGAGAGAGAGAGAGAGATGGCTGTGGAGGCAGCAGCAGCCCTTCCCAAAGCAGGGCCTGATCATAAACATAACTAACTCCATGTTGTCTGGCTCCCTCTGACTTGTTCTTTTCTGAGTTATTCTTTCCCTTGGCTTATCTTAAATTCCAGGATCATGAACCCAGTAGATAAACATCCAGTGACAAAAACCAAAACTTCCCCCTGACTCCAGGCACCTTCCTTATTTCCAATAAGATGCCGCATGACCAGTTCCAGGATAATGATCAACCAGATCATGACCTCACCAAGATGGCCACCTCTGCACACCCCCTCCGCTCTTCCCTATTACCCACAAAGCTATTGCTGACACCCCAAAGTCAGCCCTGAGATCTGCCTTCCCAGTGCTACCCTGAGAATAAAGGCTCCTTCCCGCTTAATGGCCGCTTTCTCTGTTTGATTTTCTATTCAGGGTGAGCAGCAGGGCTGGCCCTGTTGGTATTCACCTCCCCTCTGGGGTCAAGGCCTTTGCCCAGGATTCTGGTAGCTTCCTGACCTTTGTATGGTGCCTCAACAGTCCTGACCATTTCCCTGAGATCTCCCAAGGAGTCCAGCCTACAGCTGACTACTCCAGTCTCAGTGACTCAGTTTAGTGACCTCTTACCTACAGGAAGTCCCTTTCTGTTCATAATACCTGGAGTATATCAGAGGGAACATTCGGCCTTTGGTTTTTTGGAATTGGCTTATTTCACTTAGCATGATGGTCTCAAGTTCCGTCCATTTACTGGCAAATGCCACAATGTCATTCTCCTGCCCTGATGTTAGAGTCTGTAAACAAGTCAAAATAACACCTGGCATTTTTCCAGGGGAATGTTAGAGTTCGTAAACAAGTCTGTATGGTGCCTGGCAAAATGCCAGAGGGAGTGGTTTGTGAAGTAATGCCAGCGAGCCATTAAGTGTGGAGATTCCTTATTGGTTGACTGATGTATCTAGTTTATGCTAATTAAGATAAGCTGTGCAAAATGTATAAATACCTCTGTTGTCCTACAATAAACAGCTCCTACTCCTGCTGTATCAATCTACACAAGTTGCTCGTCACCCCCCGGTTAGTTTGCTGCAGCCGGACTGCGGCACCCTGAGCCCTGACTGATGCTCTTCTCTTCTTTCTCTATCCTTCCCTTCAACACTGGCCATCAGGGGAAGCAAGTGGCAGATGGAGAGGAGGAGGCAGGAGAGAAATGGGCAAATTCATCCTTTCCTTGGTTCATCCACACATTTGCTGCACACCTGTTATGCTCTAATGGCCAGGCCAGACACCTCCTCCTTCCACCCCGCCCCCAGTGACTCTTACTAGGGAGGATCCACAAAGGTACAAAATGCGTGGGGAAGGGGTTTACGGTCTGCCATGCCTGCAGTCTGTGTATTCTAGGCCTTCTCCCTGGAATGCCCCATTTCCTTCTCCCACCTACCTGACAGGTTCCCAGACCCTGTTCAGACACCACTTCCTCCCCAGAACCAGAACCTGAATCCATAGCACTTAGCCACAGAGCGAGGAGCAAGAGTAGCATTGGAAAGACAAGAGCGGGGAGGTGACAAGGTCCCAGCAGGACAAGCCCAGGGAGCATTCCTAGGTCAGCCAGGGGCTCAGTTATTAAAGTGCAGGTCACGCAACTCTGCCAGAAAGAAACTCCGACTTTTCTCAGGAGGGAATTTTGTTTGGAGGACTGAGGAATACACTGGGTTCTGCCCACTTACCTTGGCAAATAGGGAACGAGTAGGAACCAGAGCGGCAGGTGTCACACCGGGGGCCCTCGACCCCTGGACGGCACAGACACCTTCCGAGGTCATCGCATATTTCAGGGAGAACACCTTCCAAGTTACAGTCACACCCTGCAAAGGACAAGAGATGTTCAGAGGGGGCCACCCACCTCCCTTCCTTGGCTAATTTCTCCCTTCCTCCAGACTTCTGTTGTGGAAACACAGGTTATGAATAATCTATGGCTTATAAACATTCTTAATCCAGAAGACAACATCTTAAAGGGAAATAAATATTCAGGAAAAGTCAGAGATACCAATTTAATAGATTCTCATATAATGGCAATCTGGGATTAAATATGCATATACCTTCCACCTTCCAATTCCTATTCTGTGCCAGATGTGGCTTCGGAGGCTTCCCACAGACTATCTGACTTAGTGCTCCAGACACAAGGCCTTTGTAGCAGCCACATTTCTTCAGTGTCCCATTCAAGCACTTTCCTGCCTCAGGACCTTTGCTCAGGCTACTCCCTCTGCCTGGCATGCCCCTTCCCTTCCTCTTGACACAATGGCTCTTTGTCACCTCTCAAGTGTCAGTTCGTATGTCAACTCCTCAGAAGGTCTCCCTGAGCTGTCTGTATATATAATCAGCCTCCCCCCCCCCACCATTTTTTTTATGTTCGCCTTTTATAACACTTTGGCTTTGGAAATCACTGATTGACTTGTGGCTTTCTTTGGCCAAAAGAATGAGGCAAAAGTTCTATCCTGTGATTTCTGATCATAGGTCACCACATACCTTGGAGTTTCCATTCTCACCTTCTGGGCATCCTGACACTGCCATGGGAGAGACCCAGCCTGGTGCTATGGACCCTAGTCCCGTTGCATAGTATGTCTCAATAAATAAATATTTCTCAAAAACAGGCCTGTTCCCAGGCATGACTATCACACATGTAATCCCACTTGGAGAGGCTGGGACCGGAGGATTATAAGGCCAGCCTCAGCAACTTAAATCTCCAGTACCAAAAAAAAGAAAGAAAGAAAAGAAAAGGGCTTTTCTTTCAGTACCTGGGATTTAACCCAGGGACGCTCTACCACTGAGCAGCATCCCCAGCCCTTTTTATTTTTTGAGACTTGAGTCTTATCAAGTTGTTTAGAGCCTCGATAAATTGCCAAGACTGGCCTTGAACTTGGCAATCCTCCTCCCCAGCCTCTTGAGCTGCTGAGATTACAGGCATGCACCACCATGCCCAGCCCTTTTAATTTTTTATTCTGAGACAGGGTCTTGCTAAATTACCCAAATGACCTCCAATTTGCAATCCTCCTGACTCAGCCTCCAGAGTCCCTGGAATTACAGGCGTGTGCCACTGTGCCTGTCACAAATAGATAATTTTAAAAGCAACTTTCAGGATACATCCTAGATTGTTATATGTATTTAAGCCAATCTCATATTGACAACAGTCAGATTCCTATCAATGACATTAGCATTTAAGTGTGCAACATGCACTCCTGAGTAGGATCAGGAGAGGCTCAAATATTTGTGTTCAGCCTATTTATCAAGGGAGGGAGTTTGACGTGTTTTCGAAAGATTTTCTATAAAGGTTAAAATAATAGATAAGGTAAAAAGTTAGCTAAATCCCTCCTCTTTTCCTTTGCCCTAAACTTTTAACCTTTCAGATAAAAGATTAATAACAAAACAAAGAGGAAGAGAAGGTCATTGTCTTATAGAAATGACCAGGACACATTCATAACAAGAGAAGCCTTGGACCCAGGCTGGCATGAGCTGTCCCTCACAGCAACCATGCAAGGTCACAACACCTATCCCTGTCAGCTGAGAATGCCACAAGGAATGGGGACATTTTACCATGAATCAGTCTGGTGTTAAACCAAGCTTAGGGATTCTGTGAGAAATCTGGACTTGACCTTGGCGCTGAGGTTCCAAGAATCTTGATTTATAACCGAATCACAAAGAACTTCACATATCTCATCACTAAGTCTCAGGGACCCCATCTCAGGAGAGTCCCTTGAATTTTCCTCTCCTGCCAGAGTTCAGGACCTCAACCTTGTTTGCCTGGGTTATTTTGAGATCCTCCTAAGGAGGCCGACTGCCTCCTATCTCAGCCTTTTAATTCATTCTTCGTGGTGTGTCAAGAGTGACCTTTCAAACCCATGAAACCTTCCAAATCACTTCCCAGTTTTAAGACCCTCTGAGGCGACCCAATGCCTCAAGACCCAATCCAAAGTTCTTCACATGTGTGACACAGTAGCTCCTTCCAAATCTTCCAGGCAGCCCATGTAGCATCTTCATGCACATTAGAAAAAGAATGTCTTCCTGTCACCACAATGAAACCATCATTATAAATATGCAAATCTGCAACATCTTCAGAAGAGATGGCATCCCTTAGACATGGCACAGCTGTGCCTCGCAAGCCCGCATATCTGAGCCTGGCAGCTCACCCAGGTCGTTTCCTAATCCCATAGATGTCCTTCCCCTTGAACTTGCCCCTGCTTCCCACAATTCAGCCTGCCATCCCCTCTCCTATCCCTGTGCCTTCTCTTCCCTGCCTCTCTGCCTGGCTAATGGCTTTTTGTGCTCCAAGAAACAGCTCAGAATTCTTCTCCTGCTCTGGAGAAGCTTGCTCCCTTCTCTCCCTCCATTCCTTCCACCGTATGGCTGCCCAGCTACCTCTCCTGCATGCCCACAGCTTCCTGTTCTTCCCAGTACTGTTCTTAGCTCCTGCTCTTCTGTCTACCTGTCCATGTCTCCCCCTGGGAGCTACCGAGGAGCAGGGACTGCATAGCAGGGAGCCACCTGGTTGGGCCTAGTACAGAGCAGGCCTTTATCAAAGTGTAATAAATGAAGACTACACTAAATAGTTAATTCTGCAATTCTCCTCCGTAAAATTCCATTTTAGTGGAAAAGCTTCCAAACTGAGCTCTCAAGATTAGTTTATCCATCTCTTAAGCCTTATCTGGCAGGTCTCCAAGCCAAGAGTGACATCCCCTCTCTGTTGGGCAGAGAGATGCCCAGCCTGGGGAAGGCATAGCCAGGAGAACAGGCCCCAGAGATCATCGCCCCAAGCTCTTTGGGGTTTCCCTTGTTTAGCACACCCCTTAACCCCAACCACTCTGACATAAGAACTTTGGTGATGGCAACAGCTCATCCTTACAAAGTGATTGGGGGAATCCAAACCTTTTTAAGATCTTTATGAAGAAACTTCATTCAATAATCAAACTGGGCAGCCGTGTCTTTAGGCCGAACCCACTGTTCATATGATCAGCCCCATTTGCCTCAATTTCCTTGACAAAGGAGCACCTGGTCATTCTATCACCACCACTGGCTGTGCTTACCACTGCTCTTTGGACTTGGAAGAGAAGAGTGTACACAAACCCATAGGTTAGGGTCCCTCTAGAGAGTATGCTTTGGGCACCCATTCTTTTTGTTAATTCCAAAAGGAACCCTTGAAGATACTATAGGTTGACTTCCTAAGATTAACTCTGAGAGGGAAAAAACTGATCATTTGTTCTGGAAAATTCTAATAATATACAAAGTCATGAAATATAGTGAGCTATCTGAACACATTCCTATCTGCAAAACTGACCTCCTCATTTGTTTCAGCTACCCATGGCTGGGATTAGATCCACCATGTTTTAGGAAGCTGCTGTGACTAAAGGATCTTACCAGACTAACTGTAAAGGAGGAAAGGTTTATTTAGGTTTACGGTTTAAGAGGTCTCAATCAATAAACAGCCAGCTCCGCTCCCCAGGGGCTCTAGGAGAGGCTGAACATCACGGTGGAAGAGTGTGGCAGAGGGAAGCAGCTCACATATAATGATCAGGAAGCAGAGACAGAAAAACTCCACTCTCCAGATACAAAATATATACCCCATAGTCATGTCCCCACAACGAACCACTTCCTCCAGCCACACCCCACCTGCCTCCAGTTACACTCACTTAATCCCATCAGGGATTAATTCACTGATTAGGCTAAGGCTATAACCCAATCATTTCTCCTCCAAACCTTGCATTGTCTCACACGTGAGCTTTTGGAGAATGCCTTACATCCAAACCATAACACACCATCTGAGGATACCAGTATCTGAAGATGTGCTAGTCCCTTATACACAATGACAAGTATCTGTAGTGTTTAAAATAACCTATCACATCCTTCCATGTATTTCAAATCCTCTCTAGATTATTTTAAATATCTAATGCAATGTAAATGCTGTATAAATATTTGCTATACTGTACCACTTAAGGAATAATGATAAGAAAACAATTTGTACATTGTTTGGTACAGACACTTTAAAAATATTTTCAATCTGCAGTTGGTTAATCTGCAGACACAGAATCCATGGGTGTGGAGGACCAAGTTACTAGAACAGTAGTCTCAATCTTGATTGCTCATTAGAATTTCCTGATAAAATACCACTGCCTGGGTATGGAATTCCACACCCAGAGATTCTGATGTAATCCTGGGATCTGTATATTTTGGCCCAAGGGCCAAATCTGTCCTTGTTTTAGTAAATAAAGTTTTATTGGCACACAGCCAAGCTCATTCATTTGCCTGTTGCCTGTGGTTGAGCAGCTGGGGACCTCGAGACAGAATCTATAAGGCCCACAAAGCCAAAAATCTTTACTATCTGACCTTTCATGCTGAAGCTTGCTGACCACTAAAATGGGAATTTCTGCTAAGTAGAGCAGCAGTTATTAAAAAGAAGCAGGCATCCGAATCATCTGGAAACTGTGCTCAAAATACAAGCCTGGGCTTCACTCCTGGAAATTTAGATTAAGATCTCAGGTGACAGACAGGAATTTATATTTTGAAAAGCAAAGCATTCTAAAACAGATCCTGCTTAAAAGCCATGATGTTCCAGGACATAAAATCTTCAATGGGCCTTAAAGAATTAAAATTCTCAGGAGTGGAGGGGGTGCCCAGTATTACCCAGTGCTATGCATCTCCTGGCAGTTTACAAATTTGTGCCTCTGATATTCATTGCCAGAAGTTAGGTCCACAAATGCATGTTTTCTTAATGTATTAATAGAAGACGACGCTGAAGTGGATATGAGTGTTCAAATTCCCACAGGACCTGATTGCACTAACTGAAGCTTCTCTTCCTCCAGGCTGTATTCCAAGGCTCCCCTATTATTTTTAAATAAACATCCAAATTTCCCTTCAAGTTCACTGAAATTTCTTTTCCTGAAGTCTCCGCCAGTCTACTTGGGAAAAGGAAGAAACTGAATAACAGTGGGAGTACTGTAAATAGACTATAAAAAGGACACCTACAACATTCTTGTGGAAGAAAACCAGGGGTGTGTGTTGTAATCAAGGCTCAAACACTAAATTCCATTCTAGTCAATTTAAAAACACTGAAGGAAACGTGTGCTGATTCCCACCGTGGGCAGGATACCCAAGTCTGTCTGTACTGCCAGGAATTACAAACCAAGTCAAGCATAGCTGCTGTCCGAAGTGCTCAGCAGGTGCCTCATGAAGGCATATGGACAGCGTAAGGCAGCACCCCGTCAATAACACATAGCCCCATGGTATGATCAGAGGAGTCGGTTATGGGTAGGGTAAGAACTAAGGAATAAGAGGAGGAAAGTAAAGGGGACTCAATATTTTTTTCCTACTGGGAATTTAACCCACAGGTGCTCTACCACTGAGCTACATTCCCAGCCTCTTTTTATCTTATTTTATTTTTAAATTTAAAGATGAGGTCTTGCCAAATTGTTAAGGATTTAAGTTGCTGAAAATTTCTTTAAGTTGCTGAGGCTGACCTCAAACTTGCAATCCTCCTTCCTCAGCCTCTCGAGTTACTAAAATTATGAACATCCACCACTACATTTGGCCCAGACTCACATTATAACAGAGCTCATGTGAATCCTCACTCGAGTGCCACCCAACAACCCTATGACATTTCCCAAGCCCATTTATGTCCCCTCACTCCAGGATGACTCTCACACCTTCTCCCTCCTCCACCCCAAGTCCTCAGTCTCATCCTTACTCCTCGCCCTTGACCTTATTTCTGAGAGAGGAACAACACAGGAGAGTTTCTACAGACACACCTGTCTGTCCCTCCCTTAGTCCATGCAATCCGCCTTCTCTTTTTTCAGTTTTTCCATCTCAATAAAGGGCAACTTCTTCCTTTTACTTTTTAATTATTTTTTTAGGACACTATAATTATATGTAATAGTGGGGTTCATTGTGACATGTTGAAACTTGCGCATTACATAATTTGTTCTATTCCATTTCCCAGTGTTTCCCCCTTTTCTCTTTGCCTCCTTCTACCTGGTCCCTTTCCTAATTTTACTGATTTCCCTTCAATTTGTGTTTTTATTGATGTGTTATAATTATACATAAAGTGGAATTCATTGTGATAGAGTCATACATGCTTCATTTCATTCCCAAGTACCTCCCCTTACCTTCCTCTCCTCCCTCTCCATCAATCCCCTTCCTCTTCTCTGCAGTTCCTCCTTCTATTTTCATGACACCCTCCCCTTCTTTTAATTCCCTCCCCCCACACACGTCTAGTTTTTTCATATGAGAGAAAAAATTGAACTTTTACATCCTGAGTCTGGCTTATTTCACTTAACATGATATTCTCCAGTTTCATCCATTTACTGGGAAATGACATAATTTCGTTCCTATGCCTGAGTAGAACTTCATTGTGTGTATCCATACCACATTTTCTTTATTCATTCATCTGTTAACGGGCACCTAGTCTGGTTCCCTAACTTGGCTAATGTGAATTGCACTGCTGTAAACACTGGAATGCATGTATCACTATAGTGTGTTGATTTTAGTTCTTTGGGGTAAATACCAAGAAGTGGGATCGCTGGGTCCAGATGGTGGTTCCATTTTTAGTCTTTCGAGGAATCTCCACACTGCTTTCCATAGTGGTTATACTAATTTGCAGTCCCATCAGTGATGTATAAATGTTCCTTTTCCCCACATCCTCACTAACATCTGGTATTATTTATATTCTTGATGATGGCCAATCTCACTGGGGGGAGGTTAAATCTCAGTGCAATTTTGATTTCCATTTCCCCGATTGCTAGGGATGTCAAACTTTTTTTTTTTCATTTATCTGTTGGACATTTTGAATTTCTTCTTTTGAGAAATGTCTACTTAGCTCTCTTTTGCCCATTTATTGATTCCTTAACAATCAGAGTCCTCTCTTTCCTTCATGCTCTACTCCCAGGTCAACAATCCCCAACAAAACCTCTGGGTTCTCCCTGGGGATCACATCCTCCATCTGTCCATTTCTCCTCTGCTCCACTGACACCACCAGGGCTGAGCCACCATCATCTTCTCTTCATGGACAGTAGCAGTGGCCTCCATTGTGTCTCCCTGCTTCTCTTCTCTATCTATAATTTGTTTTCAACACAGTAGTCATCAAGACCCATATATCTAATGTCACTTTGTGCACAACTCTCCATGCCTCCCAATTCCTTCTGAGGAAAGAGTGAAGTCTTCACAGTGCTGACAAGGGCCTCAGACCTGGCCCCCAGGGATTCCCTCCCTCACTCCACTGTCACACATCTAATTTGTGGTTATTCACTGGACACTCCTACCCCAGGGACTTTACAGTTGCTCCTTTCTATACCTGTCCATTTCAACTTGCAAACCTCACACTCCCTAACCTCTCCCTCTGCCTTATTTTGCCCACAGTGTTCATCGCCTGCACCCAGACCTTGAGTTACTATAAGATTTCAGAGCTCAAACTCCTCTGCCAAGGAGAGCTCTCCAGAGGCCCCTTCTCTGCCACTACACCCTGGACATGGCAGGAGGAGGGTCCTCATGCATCCACACACCTCACTCCACCTTGTCCGTGATGAGATGAGCAACACCAGGCCTCTAAAGGTGCCCTGGGTGGAGAGGCAAACTCAGGGGGTGAGCTGAGTATGACTCAGATGGGGCACAGAGGTGGGCTGTGTGTAGTGTGCCCCTATATTGGTTCAGGCATGTCCTGAATGAGGTGGGCCCCTGTGTGCCACTAAGGATTAGTGCAGGAAATAGCCACAGCTGCAGAACCAAGCCTAGAGGCCTGCAATCTGCTCATTATGAATTAGTTTATATCTATGGTGCAAATGGCTCCCCGTTAAAAGCAGCACCCTTGTGTAGGACACAACTCTGAATATGACAGTCAAATATATTAGATATTTTGTTTTGTAGTGACACACACACTAATGTATGTATGTATATGTATATATATATATATATATATATATATATATATATATATATATGGCACTGTGGTACATGCCTATAATCCCAATGACTCAGAAAGTTGAGGTAGGAGGATCACAAGTTTAAGGCCAGCCTCAGCAACTTAGTAAGGCCATAGGCAACTCAGTGAGACCCTGTTTCAAAAAAAAAAAAAAAAACATAGCATCCTTGCCGGGCACAGTGACACATGCCTGTAATCCCAGTGACTTGGGAGGCTGAGGCAGGAATATCATGAGTTCAAAGTCAGCCTTAGCATGGCCCTAAGCAACTCAGCAAGATCCTGTCTCTAATAAAATACAAAAAATGGATGGGGGTGTGGCTCAGTGGTGAAGTGCCGCTGGGTTCAATTGCCAGTACTAAAAACAAGAAAAAACAGCACCCTTGATTCCAATCCCGTGTGTGTGTGTGTGTGTGTGTGTGTGTATTCACTCCAGGAAAACTGGAATTTTTTTTCCTTTTTACTGTTAAATCCCCAGCAGCCAAATTGATGCTTTGCACAATGTTGGGCATCTCAAAATACTTGCAGAACAAGTAATCAGGTAGATATAGCACCACAATTTCTGGGTCCTCATCTCTCTACTGTACATTCCTGCTACTCTCAGACTAGGGGCTTTTTCCTAGCTGTAGAGGCTCCCCAGCCTTCTTGCAGGCCTTCTCTAAGTGCCCAAGGCAGGCCCCTACTGGCTGCAGACTGCTTCACAGGGATTGACCTGAGGAGGTGGCACTTTGTCTCCTGGAGTTGTTTAGAGGGATGCCACTCCAGGTGCCACCACTACCCTTGCTGGCTAATGCACCTTTACAATGGCTCCCTCCACTCCCTGACCTACACCCTTCCTAGTATTTCCTGGGATCATCTCCCAAAATAAACGACTTACACTCAATTCCCTTGTCAGGATCTGCTTTTGGAGAACACAAACAAGTATAGACAACTGGCTGCCACAGCAGCATTTTGAGCAAGATAGTAATATCTAATTCAAGCCCTGTTCAGTTTCCTTAATCAGGCAATGCCACAGCCAAAGACAGGATGCAGTAGAGAGTGGTAGGTAGGGAGCAGGTTGATTAGGACAAGGTCCCTTACCTGAACTTGGGCTTGGTGGAGTGCAGAGGAAGATGGAAAAGACAATAAAGCATACCATTTTTATTGATGTTAAATCAAAGGAGAGGTTACTTGCCTTCTATATTTCCAGCTTCTGGATCTTCTAGACTTGGAGTAGAAACAGGAGAAGCAGGGATTCCTATAAAAATACATAAAGAATGATTAAGGGGATAGTAAAGTAAAACATTAAGTTGTGCTAAGTAGGAAGAAGCCCTGTCTCACTTAGTGAAAGTAACACATAGAAATGAATTTGAAGAAAGGCGATACTGCTCTAGTTTACATGTGCCTGGTGACTGAAACTTCCCTAATCAGACATTCTGATTTGTAGATTAAAGAACAGAGATAGATGTTTTGTGCTCATAATAGCTCAGTCTCAGACTAAACAGGGACAAGTGTGGCTTTTCTTTTCTTTTTTTTTCAGTGGTTATTTTAATGTAATATTGAGACTAGCTTTTTTTTTTAATGTTTTCTTTCAAATTTCTCCCCCTGGAATTTTGTTTAGACTATAAAAGTGAATCAGATTTCTCCTTCTCCCTTTTTTCTTTCCATTAAAGACCAGGGAAATTTCTGCCCTGCTTCTATTCAATAATCAGATTGTAAATTGATGAGCTCCTGATGTGGGACCATTGTATTTAGACTTAAGACTTTGCTTCTTTTAAATATATTTTATCATCCAAACTAGGATAACCTCCACAGTGAAAGTGGGTGCTATTTTAATAAGTGTCCTGGGACAGCAGGTGTTAACTGAAACCTAGAGTCACTTCCTTTATGTGTCCTACCCCATGCTTCAGTAAACTTTTCCTGTGTCAGATCCACAGGGGTCACAGGGATGGAGTTACAACCAATGGTGTGGGGGTGGGGGCTCTTCTTGAGATAGTGTTTCTTTGTTCAAACTGAAAAATGCAGATTTTATACTGTTGCAAACAAACAGAACGGATACTCTGTCACAGTTTGCATAGCCCATTTCATACTCCTCTTCTTCATGGTCTACAGAATTTCTGATGTCTTTTCTCATAAAGAAGCTGCAGGGTGGAGGTAGGTGTCCTAATAAATGGCCTGTCCTATAGCAGTAAAGAGGAACTACAACTCCCTGGATCCCAAAATATGACACATACTATATGCAAACAAACATCTGGAAGCTCAGGACATACCTTCTAGATTTAACAAGAAAAGTCATATACAGGGATTACTACTAAGTTGAAGTTCCCAATATTTGACCTACTGAAATGGCTGTGTCTGTTGGTATATTGTAATATCTTAGAGTTAAATAGGACTAGAATTATAAAGCTTATGTTCCAAACCTTGGGGAACACTTTCACATAAATACAATCTACCTGGCTCCATTTCTGTCCCTCTCCCCGCCCCATCCCACCTACCCACAGGTGTTACTGCACAAAGGCCAGCAATGGGCCAGAAAGGCTGGCCTCTCCCGTACTCACTCAAGCAAAATGGGAAGTTATAGTAACCAGCGGCACACTTCTCACAGTAGTCTCCATGGAAATTTGGTTTGCAATGACAGTGGCCTGAGCCCTGCTCACAGTCATCTGCATGCTCAGGGTTACAGCTGCAAGCTAAGAGAAATAACAGTTTCCAGAGGATCAGTCCTTCACTGCACTTCATATCTCAAGTATGTCTCGATAGCTCCCAGCAATGTTTCACATGTGGTCTAGAGTTACCCTTGAAAGGGCACAATCTATTTCCTACTTCAGACCTCTTTGGTGGTTATCATTGACTGAACCTCATGGGCCATCTGAGAACAGCTGTCATGAGCACCTAGACTGAGAAGCTCTCAAGAAGTCAGTTATTCCACTGAGCATTGCCCAGGTCACTGAGCAAGGGGCAAAGCCTGCACAGACCACAATCAGGGGGACTGGCTGGGTGGGCTGTTCTGTGGGTTCTGGCAGGTCTGTTGGGCACAGTAAGCAAACCATGAATATCCACCAAGTGGCCATCAGTACCCAGTTGTGACGTGCACACAAGTGTAGGTGCCTAGACATGGATAGATAGTGTGTGGCCACAAGATGATGCCCATAATAATCTCTAGTGTTAGATGGAGTGATATGGCATGCTGAAGGCAGGGTTTGCTAACAAAGATGATTAGTAGGCTTGCATTTCAAAGGGAGAATAAGAAGTTTGATACAATCCACTGCTTGGGGCTTCCCTTTATCCAGCAAGTTGTTACACTGGACCCGGAAAAAAATACTGTCATAGCTCATCTGAGTCCATGTCCTGATGTCCTTTTCCTGATTTGTTTATGACAGATGTGTCCTGTAAGTCCTTTATAGTAAGCTTCTAATACCACTTCAATGATGACTTTGAAAAAATCTAGGATAGTGGTTTTTAAGAGTGAGGTTCCTAATGCAATTACATTCACAATGTCCTGTTTTCCTTTGTGATGCCTGTTCTTTGTGGTCATAAGACAAAAGATGGACATGCTTTTCAGGACACAGGGAAGAAGGAAGGAAAGCATAAATACTTTTGTTTTACAACTAAGAATGTGTGGGCTCTCTCTCATCCAACGAGAAGGTTCATGGCACAGTGTAGAGGAGAGTGTGGCTGCAGAGTTGCTAATTAAGACCTCGGGAGACCAAGCAGGAAGCAGGTCTGATTTTATTACGCAGTTACCACGTATATATACTCAGGCAGTAGCTAAGCAGATTACAGGCAGCCACCAATGCAATTTCTGCTAACCGTCCTTACAGCGACCAATCGAGGAGTGGGCCATGGAGCAAGTGCAGGCACTGTAACACATGGCCTCATGACCAGGGCTGTGCCTATGGGGTAAGTGGCCTACTGCTCTTGAGCCTAGCACGAGGGGAGTGGCCTGCCACTCAGATACCCTTAACGTATGCCATGTATGCAGTACTCCATGTACTTGTCCCCACATAAGAAAGCCCTAGAGAGAAACAAAGACTTTTCTTTGGACTTTAATGTCCTCAAGTGCTCATGATATACTGAATTTATTTGGTAGTGTGGGTAGGCACAGAGACCAACTTCAGGACTGGAATTGGGTTCTCCACTGTGACAACTAGACAATGTAAAAGAACAGTGTCAAATAGGCTATAGGTTGTGCCTACAGGGCAAAGTCCATAATCTGACCTAAAACCAATAATTCCACAAGGAAAAACTAGCATCATTCTTCTGTATAATAAAAGTGTCGTGGCATAGTTGTGCCAGACAGAAATGAACCACATGCTGGATCTATCAGTCAGTGGCTGGGTCACCCAGACCAAAATATTCAACTACCCAGATCGCTTGGTTTCCTCATATCTAAAAATGAGAATAATGACACAATGTCCTAAGTTTGTTATAATAATTAAATAAGACCTCTGCACAGTATTTAGGCGGTGCCTTGTGTACAGCAAGTGCCACATGAGTCGCAGAAATTTTAAATACTATGACTATTTATTAAATTCTTATGACATCACTGCTATGTTGTTTTGATGTTAATTTCTGACAAAAGTTGAAATTCCTGGAGATCATAGAAATATGTCAAAAATGGAGGGACTGCTGGGTACAGTGGTGCATCCCTGTAATCCCAGCAGCTTGGGAGGCTGAGTCAGGAGAATCGCAAGTTCAAGACCAGTCTCAGCAACTTAGCTAGGCCCTAAACAACTTAGCAAGATCCTATCTCAAAATAAAAGATATAAGGGGCTGGGGATTTTGCTCAGTGGTTAAGCAATTCTGGGTTCAATCCTTGGTACAAAAAAAGAAAATAAAATGGAGACACTAACATTTATTGCAGGCCTAGGGTGACAGGCTAGATGTTAAATATTTTCCTAAGTACTTTTAATACCATTTTACTTAATCTTACAAAATATACTATCAGTTCCAGGGCTTGAAGTGATTATGTAACTGCCGGAAAGGAGTAGAAGCAATAAAATGAAGAGAGAGGGAAGGAAGATTGTCAACCCATCAGAACCGAGTCTGACCACTTCCTTGCAGCAGTCTACACAGGCCAAGATACACAGAGTTGAAATAAAACTTACGGATGCAGCCATGGGGGGCATCGACTGGAACCCCATAAGGGCGGTAATAACCCTTGGCACACTTTTCACAGTTCACCCCAGCCGTGTTGTGCTAGAAAAAAACCAAAGAAACTTAGAAGAAAAGATACTAGAAAAGCCCAGTACTCTTGATTTTGTGCTATTTATCAAGAGAAATAATTCTGTCATATTCAATTGAAATTTCAAAGTCACTAAAAACATAAGCATTGATCTTGATCTTGGGTCTCTGAGATTTGCCAAAGCACTTTGATTTAATCTTGGCTCTAAAAGTAATAATAATAATAATAATAATAGTTTTTTTCCGCAGTGGAAAAGGAAATGAGGAAAGTTCCATGAACCGGACAAACAAATCTTTCCCCTCTAAAAAAATCATTTGCTTTAATGAAGCACTCAACATTTGAGTGAGAAAAAAACCTCAAGGACTAGCCCCATGGCTTCATTCAGAAGAACTGATGAATGGATAATAAACCACCTTTAGGTTTAACCGAAAGAATAAAAGTGTGTTCATTTATACCTTTTCCCATTTTTGGAAAAAATAGCATATACATACAGACCTCTGTTTCTAGTCATTCTAATTTTATCTGTGCTTTAGTCATGAAACTATTTCCCAGGCCTTTCTATGATGTGAATGGAAAATGTAGGCATGGGTCTCATGCACAGATCTTATTTTGAAGTATAATACCAGGCGGCTTTTTCTAGCTTGTGGTTCATCCTTATAATTGCCACAAAATCAAATTACCCAACATGCATCATCAGTTTCCAAGAACTATACACCATGGGTCTAGCTCAATTTTGCTTCTAATTTGGAAATGATTAAGAAGACGGTGTTCTTTCATTAATGAAAGGAATGGCAATAGAAAATTAACAGGAACAAATATAACAAACTTTGACACACACAAAAGTCTGCATAGAAACACAGCGGGAAGAACAAAGACCCATTCTCTATTCTCTCCCCTGTTTCAGAGGATTTTATTAACTACAGACTTTTATTTATTACTACTCCTTGTCCTGTGGGCTAAAATCTGAATTCACTTTAATGCTGAGGTCAAAACCCATGCTGGCCACTTCTCTGGCTTAACATTTAAAAGCACAAACATCATGGGCAAATAAGAAGCAGCTGCAGCCCACCCTCTCTTCCCATCAAATGCCAATTAACCCTCCGCTCTGTTGCTTCCTGTTGTGACTTATCATAGAGAACATTGGTTAAGCTTGGCTGCCAAATTTTTTCCAATTGGAGTAGAAAATGAGAAAGTGTTGTCTGAGGTGGGCATTCCAAGCTTTCCCTTCTACCACAGAGCATCTGCCGTGGAGAAGTTACATTTTTAAGCACAAAGAATAATAATAAAAGATTAAGAGAGAAAGAAATAATGCCTAGAGTTTGCAGATGGAAGAATGTCTAGAGTTTGCTTAAAATCTTGGGTGGTTGTCTAGGACCTTCAAGGCCCAAGGATCAGATACACCAATGTATACGTTAACACCATGGTCCTAGTTAGACCAAGGTAAGCTCAAGAACCAAGGACAGGGGTAACTTCATAATTTCCAAATTGGAGGTTCTGGGGGGGGTGGCTTGCTGAAAAGAGTGGATGCTTGAAATGTAATTTGCATGACAACGTAAGGTGAGAAAAATCTCAACTCTCCAAGATGAAGAGTGGAGTAGGTGAAGATGGAATCTCTGGAGGCAGGAAGCCCATCCCCCACCTACCTCCTCCTTTGGCCCACCCATCTCATCTCACTCTTGACTTTCTGAGTTTAACTTATTTCTCCTAACATCACACTCCCCAGTTCATCCACTTCACAAGTGACATAGTTTCATTCTGCTTTATGAATGAATAAACCTCCATTGTGTGTGTCTGTGTATTTGTGTGTATTTTTCTCTACGATAAGACACAACAGGAAGACACACACACACACACACACAATTTTCTTTATTCATTCACCTGTTACAGACCCCTTGGCTAGCTCCGTAACTTGGCTCCTGTGAATTGTGCCACTGTAAACATGACCAAACTTGGTCACCTCGGAGTTCACCAAGTCAGTTGGCCCAGCTGCACCCCTCTCCTTCTCCATACCCAGTCAAGGCTCCCAAGTCTCTCTGTATGTGCATAATACAAAGTTAAATTTGCCCCCAAATGAGAACCAACTGCCCCAAGAACATTTTTATAATGTTTATCTTTCCTTTCCATTAAAACTGCCATTTCATCTTAGATAAATATCTACATGAATTTGTTTCCAGATTTTCTATTAGGTTTTATTGGAATAGTTATTCCCGCATTGAGTCATACTTAATACAGATTCATAATATTTTGAACATCTCAGAAGACTAATTTCCCCATAATTGTTTATCTTTTCTAAACTATTCTAATATATTCTTTGATCAATAAGAACTTTAGAATCAGTCTATCAACCTTCATAAAAGTTCGGTTGGAATTCTTACTGTGATAACACTGAGTTTATAGATTGGTTTCACAGAAACGGTATATATATATAGTATTAAATGTCTGGAAACACATCATGCCTCTCCATCAAGGTCGTCTTTTATGAACTTCAGTAATGTTTGATCGGTTTGACTATTGCTCCACAATCAATTTTTTCTGTCATCTTTAGGATTCCCTCTAAGTTATTCTAGCATTCCCAGCTATGTATCCCTGCAAGTATGTGTTTTTGCTTTCTAACTTTTTGGAATCTCATGAAATTCCTGATCTGTTGATGACGCTCTTTTCTAATGTTCATGCTTTTATGGATTCTAAAAGGAGGGTGTATTTTTTTAGAATCTTTTAAACATGTTGTAGGGCTTCTTGCAGGAGGGAACATAGCCAGCTGTGCTCCGTGTGCTCTCTGGAGCCCAACTCTTGGTTTCATGTGGAGTTTGTGTGTGAAGGAGACAAACAGTTTGTAAATAGTGAGACCAAGGGTTAGGATTGTAGCTCAGTAGTAGCGTGCTCACCTAGCACATGCAAGGCCCTGGATTCAATCCTCAGCACCACATAAGAATAAATAAATAAAATAAAGGTATATAAAAAAGAAAAAAATAGTGAGATCAAATACATCAAGGACACAAACAACTGGGGAGTAAGCTTAAGACTTAGATAAAAAGTGGTGTCTACCAAAGAGGTTAAGCTTTGTTTCAGTTAATGAAGATAAAATATCTTCCAGCATCATTTCAAACAACATTAGTATTCTTCAATCTCTGTTAAATACATCAAAGTTTCACTAAAGAGAAAGAAATCAAGAAGTCAATTTTAAAATGTGCTTCTGGTCTTCTTTCATTCTCTTTTCCCTCAACATTTTATTATGGAAAAATGTCCAGTTTTACAGGGGACACTTAAACACCTCCCCTCGGAAGTGTGCCATTACTATTGTACTGTACTTGCCTTATCACTTAATTCTCCATCTACCTACTCCTCTCTTCATCCACTAATCCATCGTATTTTATGCATTTCAGAGTAAGTTACAAATACCAGTCACTTTCCCCTAAGTACCTTGCTTATACTTTCTGGCTTTTGGTGTGAAATATATACAATAAGCACAAAGATCTTCATGTTCATTCATCAGATTAGAAGGCACACAAATGTGAAACTCTGTTCCTTATCTAGGCATAGAACAATCATCCCAGAAAGTTCCCCATGTCCCTTCTCGGTCAACCTCCATCACCCTCTCCTCAAATACAAATCTCACTTTTCCACTCTTGATTAATTTGTGTTTAAAATTTTCATTTGAAGGATACTCACACTATAGGTACTCTTTTTAGTAAGTTGACCTTCACTCAGTGTTTCTAAGATTCTTACCTGTGGCTGCATGCATCAGAAGTTTGTTCTTCTCTATGAATCCTTAGTGTCCCATTGCACGAATATGCTAGAATTTGTTCATCCATTCTACTGTTGATGAACAGGTAGGCTATTTCCAGTGGGGGCAGGAGGGTACGGGTAGTTGCATGAAGCAGTTATCAACTATGTGTAAACAAACATTTTTATTTCTTATAGATAAATGCTTAGGAGCAGAATTTGTCAGGGAGAGGTGTGTGTTCAGTCTTGTAAAACAATCGGTAGAACCTTCCCCCAAAGACTTGTACCATTTTTCATTCACATCAGCGCTGCATAAAAGGCACATTCCACCAAAAATTGGTGTTATTAGCCTTGTTAAGAATTGCCATCCTAGCCGGGCACAGTAGTGCACACCTGTAATCCCAGCAGCTCTGGAGACCAAGGCAGGAGGATTGAGAGTTCAAAGCCAGCCTCAATAACAGTGAGGCACTCAGCAACTCCAGTGAGACCTTGTCTCTAATAAAATACAAAACAGGCTGGGGATGTGGCTCAGTGGCTGAGTGCCCCTGAGTTCAATCCCCGGTAAGCCCCTCCCCCAAAAAAATTGCCATCAAGGTGCATATGCAGAAGTATGCTATTGTAATTTTGATTTGCATCTCTCTGAAGACTAATGATTTTCAGCCCTTTAATTGGCTATGCATATGCCTACTTGAGTGAAAAGGTTGTTTAAATCTTTTACATATTTTGGAGGTTATTTGTTTTTTTTATAACTAAGGTGTAGGAGTTCTTTATATATAAACCATTTGTCAGATTATGTTTTGTGAGTATTTTCTCCCTCTCTGTGGCTTGCCTATTCATTTTCTTAATAGTGTCTTTTGTGAGCAAAAGTTTTAATTTTAATGAAATCCAAGTTGTTCATTTTTCATGTTTACTGCTTTCTGTGACCTTAGAAAACTCTGTTCATCCTCTGAATCACAAAGATATTCTCTTCTATTTTTCTTTGAAGTTTTTTAGATTTTGCTTTTCTTTAAATCCATGGTCCATACTAAATTGAAATACAGAACCCCAATCAATATTGGGTAAACATACTTTTAGGTAAACATGCATTTTCTGTGCATGTTTATCCAAAGATGTGTAAAAGTAAGGTCTTTTGTGGCCAAAAGTGGAGAAAGAATCTTAGGAAATACTTCTGACTGCATATCAGTTTCTTGACATCTTTTTGGGGATCAGAACTTACCAAATGCTGGTTCGCAACCATGACACACCCACTTTGATTTAGAGAGTGCCTTTACCTGGCAGTCGATGCAGACCCCGCCACCTGCATAGATGCCTTGGGTATTCAAGCTTGCTTGCTGCTGCTCAACTTCTGGGTCATAGTAACAGTCGATGGCATGGCCGTGACAGTTGCAGGCTGAAAAACAGCCCCACTAGGTCAGTATTCCATCATTACTATACGACGACTAAGAAATTCCCACATAGTATCAGTGCTCATTGGAGTATAATAAAGTCTATCCTGGAACACTAGGGAAACAGTGGAGAATTTTGGGGATTTTTACACACAGACCAGTAATAGACTATTATGAAATTTATAGCTGCTTCCATTTGATATTAAATGAGAGGTTTCTCTTTTAAAAATTAAGATATGTACTTGTAACAAATTAAGATGCATCAAAATATCAAAATGCCAATTAAGCTTCATACACAGAGATTAGTACTGTTACTGATTTTTTTTTTTTTGTACCAGACATTGAACCCAGGACACTGAACCACTGAGCCATATCCCAGGCCTTTTTTATTTTGAGACAGGGTCTTGCTAACTTGGATCTTGCTATGATTTGGGTCTGGAATGTCTCCCAAAGTCTTATATGTCAAATTTGGGATTCCTGGGAAGTAATTAGATCACTAAATTGCTAAGGCTGGCTTTGAACTTGTGATCCTCCCGCCTCAGTCTCTGAGCCACTGGGATTACAGATGTGTACCACTGCCCCCGGCTCTTGGTGATTTTTCTCCTCCTCCTCCTCTTCCTTCTTCTTCTTTTAAATAATTTCAAAATATCTACAAGAAGTATATATAAAACTTCTATAATTAGAAAATGTAGTTAGAATTCCATTTAGGATTTTCATCATTGCCAAGATTTAGAATGTATCTTCATTAAATTCCACTCAGATCAAATTTTCTAATTATTTGAATGTTTTTATCAAGTTCCCAGACACACATATTAGGGAAGAAGATGGAATTAGAAATTACACAAGTTCCCCTGTTTATATAGGCTGAACACTTTCTTATTTTCATTTTCTCAGTGGTGCCAGATCAATCTTGGCATTTATGAAAGTATAATAATTCATATTAATGATTATTATTATTGTAATTTGTCTCCTCATATTTCTACCTTAATTCAGAGTAGGATAGTTTTCCCTTAAGCCTGTGAGTTTTTCATTATAGAGTGACCTATTATCTATAGTTGCATTTTCCACAGTCTGGATTACTTGCAGTCAAACTTGGTTTGAAAACATTAAATGAAAAATGCCAGAAATAAACAATTCATAAGTTTTAAATAGCATGCCATTCTAAGTAATAGAATGAAATATCATGCTGTCTGGCTCCATCCTGCCTGGGACATGAATTATTCCCTTGTACAGAGGATCCACACTGTATATGCTACCAGCCCATTAGTCACATAGAAGCTGTCTTGGTTATCAGATCCACTGTCTTGGCATCACAGTGCTTGTGTTCCAGTAACTTATTTTACTTAATAATAGCCCCAAAGCACAATAGTAGTGATGCTAGTGATTTGAATTCAGTAAGTTATAACTTTTATTTTATTACTAGTTATTATTATTGATATCTTACTGGGCCTAATTTATAAATTAAACTTTATCAGAGGCATATATATATATGAAAAAAAAAAAACATGGTACATATAGGGTTCAATGCTATCCCTGGTTTCAGGGGATCTTGGAATTTATCCCAAGGATAAGAGATGACTATTAAGCAGTAACAGACCTGAGTCCCTAAAATGGACATGATCCCAGCCTCTTCAGGAACTCAGGGGGAAAAAAGAACACAGCATCAGTTTTCTGATAGGACAGGAAGACCATGTGCAGGACATCGCTCCCCAGTCCCACCCCAACACCCACCTTCACACTCATTGTTCTGCTCCCATAGTGCCGGCTGCCAGGGTCTCTGATTGTAGCCCACACAGCAGTGACTGCAGGTCTCCCCACAGGTGTGGTGCTGGCATTCACACTGGAACCTGGGCATGGGGGCAAAGCATATCTCAGTTATTGCAAAGTTTTGATTAAGGTCAGTTGTTCCTGCAAAAGTTGTTCATGCAAAACATGAACAGAGCTGTGGGGTCATCCATGGGCCATTCTCTAAGTAATTAGGAGAACAAAGCATTCTTTATACATTATTTCAAGTCCCCCCATAACCTGCTTGTTATCTACATTTTATAGATAATAAAACTAAGATTCAGAGGTATTAAGATGCTTGCCAAAGGTCAAGCAGCGATATGTGGAGAATCAGATTTCAAACCAAAATTGACTCTGAAGCCTCAACTCTTTCTTCTCTATCACATCATGGCACAATAAATGGACAAATGAGCAAGCAAGTGCCGAGATTCCCGGGATGCACTATCACCTCTTCACCAATATCCCAAGGAGTCCTGTGAGAAGTCCACTCGAGTCTCTTACTCTCAACCTGTGATCATACACAGAGATTTACTGACCAGGAAGCACCTACTAAAAAGACCTCGAAGGCCTTTGCTCTCACCGGCTGTCCCCTCTTCATCTCAAGACCACGAGCTGAGATCACTCAGAAGAGATGAAGCTAGAAAAATCTGAAAAATCTAACATCTGTCTTAAATTTCAATCCAAACTAAGGTCATAGCCTTGGTTTGCATCAGAACTCCAAGCTTTGAGCTCCCGTTCATCTGTACTTGAAAGAAGATTCAAAACAGTTGCCTAAGAAGGCTCTTGACTAGGTCTGTGGGGACTCCCCAACAGGACTTGGGCAGGTGGGATGGTGTGTCTTTAGCCATACTCCTAAGAGCAGAAGTGTCATCCCTCTTTCTGCCCAACAGCCTGAAAGCCACAGATGTAGATTTAACTGGTGGCATATAACAGCTGGAGTCCAAATGGGATCTTGTCAGAGAGGAAATTTCACCTCATTGCCAATGAAACACTTGGCATATGCTGGGTTGAAAAATATTTAGTAAAGTTGCTTGAAGAACATATGGTCCAGCTATACTCATAGGGAAATTGAAATTGAGCACAGCAAATATAAAAAGAAAAGAAAGAAAGGCTTGTGAACCTGTCTGAATTATATGGCACCCCCTAACTACTCTCTCAGCCCAGGCAGAAGGTTATTTAGAAAAATTATCCTTTCATCTGCTATAAAATTGTTATTAAAGATGTTGTTGATTAAACTGTGGAATCAATCTGGATGCCCTTCAGTAGATGAACGGATAAAGAAACTGTGGTATATATACACAATGGAATATTACTCAGCATTAAAAGAGAATAAAATTATGGCATTTTCAGGTATATGGATGGAGTTGGAGAATATCATGCTAAACAAAGTAAGCCAATCCCAAAACCAAAGGCCAAATGTTCTCTCTGATAAGTGGATGCAGATTTATAATGGGAAAGTGGCATGGGGAGAATGGAGGAACTTTGGGGAAAGGCAAGCGGGGAGGCAGGGGAGCATGAAGATAGACAAGATGTTGGAATGAGTTGGACATCATTACCCTAGGTACATGTATGACTGCACATATGGTGCAATGCTGCCTTGTGTACAACCAGAGAAATGAAAAGTTGTGTTCCATCTATGTACAGTGAATCAAAATGCATTCTGCTGTCATGAATAACTAATTAGAACCAAAGAAAGAATACAAAAAACAATAAGTGTTGGCAACGATGTGGGGAAAAAGGTACACTCATAGATTGCTCGTAGAAATGAAAACTGGTGCAACCATTATGGAAAGAGGTATGGAGATTCCTCAGAAAACTTGGAATGGAACCACCATTTGACCCAGCTATCCCATTCCTTGGTTTATACCCAAAGGACTTAAAATCAGTATATTACAGTGATGCAGCCACATCAATGTTTATAGCAGCTCAATTCACAATGTCTAAACTATGGAACCAACCCAGGTGCCCTTCAACAGATGAATGGAAAAAAAATATGCGAGAT